CACGTCAAACTTCCACATGGGTATCAGAACCAAACATCACTATGATACAATACGGCCAACTCAAGCAGGGCACAGTTTGGATTCAAGTGTATTTCCTGTTGGAATGTTTGTTAATGCAGATCATGGCTTTGTTCAACCACTGCATCTCATGCCCCTGTTTCCTAATTCAACGCTAGCTAGTGTCAGCGACTAAATCAGTTTGATTGCACGGTTGTCTTATGGGCTGTCCTAACTGCCTGTGAGCAACACAGCGCAATGAACTTTTGTCGGACGATCCATCTCTACTTTTATTCTGTCGCTCGCGTTGGAAGGGCAGCAATGGAAGAGGATCAGCTGAGTCACACGGTTTACATGAGGTATTACCCACAGGATACCTCCTTATTTCACTACAAAAACCTGAATAAGTTGGTATCTGGCGAGAGGGAGATCGACAGAGAATTGTGTGGGTTGCTAGCAAGCTAGGTTGTTTGGATGTGGAGATGGTGGTATGATATAGTTTGGAAGCTACAGCAATGGTATCTAGAAGTTAACCACGATAGTATTGTTCATTCATTCATTAATTTTCCACAACCACTTATCCAGTTATGGGTCGTGGGGGGCTGGAGCCTATCCCAGTTGACATTGGGCAAGAGGCGGGGTACACCCTGGACAGGTCACCCGACTATCACAGGGCTGACACATAGAGACAGACAACCATTCACACTCACATTCACACCTACGGGGAATTTAGAGTAGGCTGACCAAACGTCCTCTTTTGCCCGGACATGTCCACTTTTCACGTCCTGTCCGGGGCGTCCGGGGGGGTTTCATAAACTGATGATAATGTCCGGTTTTCCGTGTGTTTGTGTGTGTGTGTGTGTGTGTGTGTGTGTGTGTGTGTGTGAGTGCGGCACGGGCCGCATATTTCTGTCTGAACCCGAACCGAGCCCGACATTATTTAATGACCAAAGCACTGAGTTTGTGTCACACAGTTGTTACGGTTACAGGGTATTTACGGGCGTGCTCAGCGGAGAGGGAGACCTCCGTGTTTGAGACGGGAGTGGGAGGCGGGAGGTCCAACGCTTCCAGCGAGAGGAGAGGGAGACATAAAACAAAATAAGATAAAATAGGAAAAACCTGTCTCCCTCTTTTATTTTATTTTCAGCGTTTAATCAAGGCTGAGGCGGGCGGCTGGAGGTCTGAGACTTCCAGCGAGGAGAGAGGTAGAAACAAACCGCCAATGTGTGTCTGTGTGTGTTATGTTCAGGTGTTGTCACGTAAATAACAGTGCCCAAGCAATAAACAGGACAGACAATTGGACTTTATTTATTTTTACACTACATTTTCACTGGAGGCGTTAGAGGTGTTCCAGGCACGTGTAACTGGTAGGAGGCCCCGGGGCAGACCCAGAGTATACTGGAGGGATTACATATCTCATCTGGCCTGGGAACACCTTGGGGTCCCTCAGGAGGAGCTGGCAAGTGTTGCTGGAGAGAGGGACATCTGGGGTGCTTTGCTTGGCCTAATGATGCGACCTGGCCACGAAAAAGTTGATGAAGATGGATGGATGAATGCTAACATCAGGGAAACATATAATCTTGGTCGCTGATGTTGACCATATTCCTGTTGAAACGTGTTTAGAAGCATTTATTGGGGATGTCATTGTAAGGAGTGTCGCTGTTTCCTGTTACAGTCATTCCCCGGTTGCAATGACGGTGCACAGATGCCAAAATACAAGGACCTGGAAACGCAGACCAGTCAGAGCACACTGGGCTTTTTTGGGAGGGGGGCTTAAACTGACAGGCACGAATGTACGAATATACTCTCAAAAATAGTATAGGGAGATATAGATATATGTAAATATAGAGTATAGGGAAAATAACATGTAAAGATATTATAGTAGAAACCTTAAATACAGTATAAACCTGAAAAAGCGCATAAGAGGATCTGTTTAAGCTTCCTTGTTTTCTTTTTGACATATCTATGCTAACCACAAAACAAAGAAATGAATGATGGCGATTGAGCGCACATACTGAATGTTAGTAGTTCCATATTTCCTTTTTTTCCTGCTCTTTGAGCTACAGTAAGTGAAGTTAACAATATTGCACCAATGCACTTTGAGTGTACAGTCTGTGGTGTAATGGCAACATTAGTATGTATGCCAGTATCTGTATTAAAGTGAATTAGTGATGGATCACTGTCATGCATGAACCATACATCACTAATAGACTTATTTTACACATGATCCATGATGATGAACAGAAAGAAATGCATGGCAAGGAATAGCATATTGTCAATATTTTAGATACCCCCCTCAAATTCCACAAATCATGTTTTCAGGGGAGCTCATGACTTATTAAGAGGAGCCAAGCTGCCCCTGGCTCTCCTGTGGTTTGCACCCTGGAGCTGCTGGAGGAGAATCTAGATGCATATGGTGATCCATTACCTTCTGCAACTCTTGCTAGAGTGGTAACTCAATTTCTACGTTTTCTGGACGACATTCCACTTTTACAGTATTGTGTGTGTTTCTGATTTTTATTAAATGATGCAGTTACTCTGAATATAATGATTGAAATCATGCCATATGATTATGTTGTATAGTATTGTAAGCTTTGTTTAATACTGTTTATATAAGCTAAATGATCATAAGCTAACAAATAATTCCCTCTTGGTTTAATTTGCTCTTGGAGTATAACACTCTCACATACAGACTGTGGAGGCTCAGTACATGGTACTTGAGGCATGATACTTTTTTGTTTGTTTGTTTTTTTTTTTTTTTTCTGAACCATGTGTCATAACCAGTATCAGACAAGTGCTATGAGTTATAACTTGCAGGTCTGCCTTTTAGCTCAAACACCTCTGCTTCAGTGTTATGGTGCGTTTGCACTGGGAATTCGGAATCATGTAAACTTTAGCCCCGTTTCCACCAACCACCATGGTATGGTTCAGTTCAGTTCAATATGCTTTTTTTCCATTTCCACTGTGAAAAGTTGTGGATGGTACCAATGGAACCGCTCTGTACCGTTCCCATGTTTGGTCCCCCCTCTGTTGGGGTACCTAGCACACAGATCTGGTACTAAAAGGTGGAGCTGTGAACACTGCAGTCTGTTGATTGGTCAATAGCGGACGGTCACTCTGCTCAGGGCTGAGTTGTGGCTGGTTTTGAGGCTCATGTAACCACTGTTCATACCATGGCAAGTTTTATTAGCAGACTGTAACTATAAAATGAAGGATGTTTTGCTGCCTGTAATTCACTGGGCCGACTGCAGGCGACTTTTAAGGTGGAACGTTAACTTGTAATGTTACTCCATGCATGAGCTGACGACCTGAATCAATCAACACACCTTAAATATTCCATATTACAACTTTGACCATCACTTTAGCTTATATATGACATACACTTTTAGCAATGAGTGGATCGTCAAGCGTTTGTATATGTTAATTTCGGCCAGGTAATGTGAACGGCATATATTCTCATCTGTTGCGGAGCGTCGTTCCTGTGGGCTATGGCAACACTAAACCCCTGAGCTTGCCTGAGAAGGACTAAATGCACAAACCCGCTATTTTTAAGTATCCCATGGAGAGAGACTCTCACTGCAGCCTGTTTTATTTTGTTCTGAAGATGTTGGCGTGCAGCCTCATTCTGTGGACGATAAAGTAGGTGCAGACTTCCATCATCCCCGCCCACATTTAAGGGTACTGTTTGCGGTGGGAACGCTAGGGTCTAGGTACCATGTCTGAAGGGTTACTTTGGTTCCATACCATTAAGTGTTTGGTGGAAACGGGGCTTTTGAGTCATTTTAGGTTAAATCTGCATCATCCTAAACCTAACCACAGTAACTTCACTTGCCTTAACCTAACCTCCATAAATTTACGTTAATTATGTAACTTTACGTAAAGGACATAACGTCATTTGTGGGGAGCTAATTCGTAGGATATCATATCAACAGTTAAATAAGGATACGTTAGAAGTTGAATAATGTTTTGTTTCGGGGGTTTTTGACCACTGGAGAAACTAAACAAGCAATTTTATGACTTTGCTTTGGACTCTGTCATTATTATTTTTCATTCTGTAGACTATCAAGAGCAAATTAATGAACAGGTCCCGCAACTCCTCTCCTACATTGTGCTGTGTATTCCCTGAACGTTCTCAGCTTCCTTCATTATGGCGGTGAAAGCAATGTACTGTAGCTGAAAATGTTTGGGGAATAAACACATCACATTGGAGAAAAGTTAATTAATTTGATTTTTATAGACCTGCATCAGTTATGCTTGTGTTCACAATGCGCCGCAAATTTCCTTTGTAGAATCAGAAATTAGATTTTTCAGACTAAACGGCTAAGGGATGACGGATTCATCTGTGGAGACGATAACTGTTGTGATAACTGAGTGTTTCTCAAGAAAGAACTTGTGTTGTTCAGTGTCAGCCTTTTGCTCATTAGCACATTTTAACTGGAGATACAGACAGCTCACACTGCATGGCAAATTAGATTGAGCAGCCAGCCCCATCCCCCACTACACACACACACTCAAACACACACAATCACATGTATTTATACTGTATGTAACATTTATGAAATGCAAATAGACTTGTGGGTTCATGCTTGTGCATTCTTTTATAGATTAATGGTCTAAAACAATCGTCAAGTTACTGTGGGTGAAGAGATGTACAATAAAGAGACACACTGACAGTATGACAAGGGCAAACACACTCTATCCTTTTCCACAGTCGACTTAACCCTGCATTTATCTTTTCTCATCTGTCACATTCCCATCAGTTTTATTGTGTCTTTGTGTTCCCGACCCTCAAACAGGAGCCCCTCTTTCTCCCTGAGCATCCCTGCTGCCTCCACTCTCAGCCTCCGTCTCCCTCCCTCACTTCCCTGCTCTCTAGCATGCTCTCAGTCTCCATCTACCTTCCTCCCTCCTTCCGTCTTTCCCTCCCTCTCTCCTCCTCCTCCTCTTTCCTCCTCCTCCTCCTCCCGCTGCGCTCTCGACTCGTTCTCATTCCCCCTCGCTCACACACTCAGGCAGCATCCTCCCCTCTCCACTTCTACCTTCACACTCACCTCTTCGCGCCTCCCTCTCCACTCCTCTCGCTTCCTTCCTCTCCGTCACCTACTAACACATATCATCTCTGGCATCTCCCCGTCTGCTGTCTCCCTCTCCACCACCACTTCCACCACCACCACCATCACCACCATTTCTCCCTCCTTCTCACACTCTCAACCTTGCCGCCTTGTGCAAACTCACGCGTGCACACACTCATGCTGATTGGCACCCAAGGACAGAGCACCCTCTCTTCTGTACCAGCGACCAGGCGGTTTGCTCGTGTGGCCAGGCTTCTTGACACTGAGCTCAGCTGAGGAAGAGGACGAGGAAGAGGCCATGGAGCACAGCCACATCTTCCCTGTTTTTTCCCCAAATGGTAGCACCTGGAGCCCAGGGCAGCATCCCTCTGAGTTTGCCCAGGGATGCCCCCTCGGACCGCTGCCTGTCATCTACTACAGCGTCCTGCTCTGTCTCGGCCTGCCAGGTAAGAAACATGCACATGAGTGTGTGTGTGTGTATGTGAGTGTGTGTGTGTGTGTGTCTAATCACAAGCACATCTCATTCTGTGTGAATTTGCTCATCGGTGCTTTGCCGGAGTCACGCTTTGCATCTTGATTTGTTGTGCACTTGTCTGCAGGTTTGAGTGAGTGTGTGTTGTGCACAGCTGCTCCTGAGTGTCACTCTTTGGACACACACACACTGTTGATTTGTCATTCTGACCTTGTGGCAATCACTTGTGCATGCGTACGTACTTTGTATGTATTTGTCATTGCTTGTACTCTGCTGTTTGGAGGGTTTGTGCATTTGTTTAGTTGGTAATATTGAAGCACCATTTAAAGAGTGGAGACATCAACCGTATGTGCAGGGCATCATCAAATCTGACTGTTAACCCTTTAAAACGGCACCTTTTTGGTTCATCTGTAGTCGCTCTTGATGAATATGTGCATGACAGATTGAGCACTGACTAGGTTTGACCTCGGGGACAAGTGTGCATTACATGGCTCCGCTGGATGACCTGGATTGATGACACTTCCTTGTTGCATCTTTACCATTGACTGATTACCATTGACTGATTAGTCCATTCACAGTCACTGTCGGACCCATTTACTGCCTCACTCCCACTGCGTGATCTATGAGCGCTGACCTAGTCTCACACAGGGAAGTAAAGCGGTGTGTGTGTGTACATCTGTGTATATGAATGTGTGTGTGTGAGAGAGACAGAGACAGAAAAGATGGAGGTCAGATGAAAGAGAAAAAGTGTGGATGACTAATCAGAGGTCGGGGGCTCAGACTGTCGGATCCACTCTGTTTCAACCCAAATGCAGGACTCATTCTGTGCATAAAGGATAATTCAGAGGTTTTACTATTTCACACTGATGTTGATGAGCACAATCAGTGACTTTTCTTGTCTTATTTATAAGACTAAGATACCTTCTCAAGCTCTGCACCCCTCGATAAAGACTGAGAGTGAGATATTATCACCAACCTAAGCTGTCCTGGTTCAAAACAAATCTGCAATGCAAAGTGAAAAGCTCCTGTATGCCAAGACTGCAGCTGCTCCACGAGATTTTGCAACCTTGTAAAAGTAAAAGTCTGCCGTTTTGATCAAATCTCACCTAATTATTTCTCCTGGACGGCAAATCAAGTCTTGCACAAGCAATTCTCATCGCTGTCATTTAAAGTTTCCTGCCTCGGAAGTTTTATTAGATTCTGCTGCTGAGTCGTCTTTACAAATGTGATTGAGGCTGTTTGTTTAATCACTGAGTAACAATAACCCGGGAGTGTAATGCAATCTTACAATGGTTGTCTGAATTAATGGCAGAGTTGAGTGCGGCGGGCTGATACTTTGCGGCAGCCGAGTTCGACTTATTCAATCATTATGACACAGCTCGTTCCTCTCAAGCTGAATCATGAATGTTTCATGAGCGCGGCATGTGTGAGTAGTAGCAGCGTGACCCGCAGACCCACAGGTATTTAACACTCTAGAAGGATTTGAGGCCGTTACTTTGATTACCAGCCAGTGTTTCATTCGTTCTAACAGCAACAGGGCTTTGACCTTTAAGCTGCAGCCGGCGAGGAGGTTGCGTCGAGAGCACAGACTCAAGGAGGAAAGATGATGGAAGGTGATGAGGTGATGAAAAGGGATTATGCAAGTCAAGTGGTGGGATATGATTACTCCATGACCTAGGGAAATGATGAACCAAAAGCTCTGAGTGAACAGGACGTCGTATGAGGCAGACAAGGACACCCAGAAGAAGAAGAAGAAGAGTGGAGTTAAGAGAAAGAGATGAATAGCAGCAGAGCCAGCGAAGTAGCACCCCTGAGCCCTGAGTGGGGGAGCTACAGACGACGGAGCCGAGACGAATTGCCACATTTTTAATTAATCGCTAACTCCTTCTCTCTCCTTCTCTCTCCGCTCACCACACCACACTGCCTGAGACAGAACAGACGTGTGCTGGCATAGCAAACAGCACAGTGAAGGAGTCGGTGCTTCGCCTAAGCCTTTGACATGCGGGGATTACAGAAGTGAGGCCTGCTCTTTGTACAGTACAGTATGTCTCATAACACTCAAAGCTAATACTGTACAGTATGTTGAAGCTGATGAAGTGATTTGACATAACCGAGTGTCCATGTGAAGCACCTCTGAATATCCGGGCTGAGACAGCTGCCGTCGTTTTTTCTCTACACAATGAATTAATGGTGTTTACAGACTTTTTACCTGCACACATACATTTTAAATCCCACATGCTCGAGTGTTGTTAACTCGAGGTCACTGCTGACACGTGAGTATGGCCTGAAGAGGCCTGCTTTTAAATGACTCTTAAATGCATTAATGTTGATAAAATGTCCGTGCAGCAAGGCACAAAAGCCACTAAGAGGATTAAGTTCTATTGTATTCTATTTAATAATTCAACATTTGTAATTATTATTTAATCAGTCATCAAGCACCCATAAAAGACAGTCTGACCAAAACTTGCATCATGGTAAGATCATTAACACACCAGCAACATGTTGTCTTTGACATCACACATTTTTACATTTGTTGCTAAATTTATATTTCTATCAGATACATGTGATGTTTTACTTCAACACTTCTTTACTGTGTGCGGCATCAAGTGGTAACTTCAGTATTCTTCAACCTGGACCCTGTTTCCTCATGTGTCTAAATGACTAATGGAGACACAACAATTTTTGAAATTGGCCATTACTGAAATTGAAATTGATCAGCCTTAAAACAGGCTGCAGTGTGCGTGGTGCCACTTTACGTCCACTAAAAGTGTTCGTTTTTGCCACTGACAGCCTCAGATTATTACGCTAAGAGTCTGACAATGACGTAGAAAGGATCTCTCATGAAATAGACCTTTTCTTAAAGAGTAAGATCCTTTATATTAACCAGAAACAGACCCAAAATCACTACCCAAATCCACCAGACTCCATTTAAATAAACAGTCATTTTATTGTGTATACAGCCAGCACATTTTCACGTCTAACTGGGTGAATTAAGGGTTTATGTCAAACAAACCAGAGTTGTTTTATGTTGGAACAGTAGAAAGATGAACCACAATGGATTTTGTGAGTTTTATTTTTTTCTTTCAGCGTCAAGTGAAATTTGTTTTGTGGTGATAAAATTATTGTTTATTTAAATGGAGTCTGGTAGGTTTGACGATAGCGATTTTGGAGCTGTTTCCCGTCAAACCAAAAGGATTTTACTCCTTAAAAAAAGGCCTGTCTCTGTAGGGATCATTTCCATAATGTTATCAGACACTTAAAATAACAATGTGAGCCTGTCAGTGGCAAAAACAACCACTTTTGGTGGATGTAAATTGTTGGTGCGTATACGCAGTGTTTACATTGCAGCCTGTTTTACAGCTGCACACACTGAACCCCTGAACACTGGTGGAAAAAATTCAGATCATTTACTTTTTTATTTGTTTAATGTTCTATAAGATATTCATATATTTTGTATGTAATTTTGTAACCTGCAAAGTAGCCAGTAACTCAAGCTTGAAAATCAAAGTAGGAGAGCAGAAATTACTGTATTTACCTCTGATGCAGTGGACTAAAGGTAGAATTACTAAGTAAAGTACAAGTAAAATCTACTCATGTGTAGTAGTTGACTCATTGTACTTAGTTACATTCAAACACTTGTAGTTATTGAAATCACACCAGCTGAACATCAAACAGTGAAAAAACATGAAGAATACTTGATGGAAATATGACATTATTTGTTTGATTCATGTATTAATTCGAGGACGGTTATAAGTCACCTCCACGGGGATGTTTTCATCTGTCACTGTCTTTCGTCTCATCAGTGGAGTGAAAGCTTGAGGGACAAATGAGTCACATGCTTCACGTGTGTCGTGATTTATTGCATAAGTTCCACTGCACTTTGCTTTTATCAGTATATCCATTTTTACACCTTAGAAATTTTGACTTTTTTTTACAGTTTTTGGCATTTGCACTCACAGGGATGCACAAGTTCAAATGTGGATAAAAATATTGGATTGAAATATACTTACTGTTATAGCCACAAGTCCACAGCAGTCAGTGGTGTTGGATAGGCTAACAAAACGATGGACTTTGACATTGGAGACAGCTCTTTGTTCTCCTACCAACAGTCATTAGCTGTGTCTCCGTTCAGGGGCTGCAGCCACCGAAGGCTGCATTTGAAGACCGACTGCATCACATCGGCGTGACCAAGGCTGTCCCATTTTGAAGACTCCTTTAAATGCTGCTGAAAAATGCAGCCTTGTTTCCCAGAATTTGGAGGATGTAACGGATGAATCCTTCGTGGCCCAGCCTATCCCAAGATGCATTGCATAGGTTAACTAAGATTTGTTAACTAGCTAATGATTAACTGTTATTAACATTACTATTAGCTGAAAGCACACAGCGTAAACAATCTTAATTTGATAAGTTTACCTAAATATGTTCCATCTGCCTAAAATATAACTAACTTACTAGCTTACTCCTTCTTTCGTCAAGTGCAGCTGGTTGCTAGGTAACAGCAACGGCAACAGGTCGGGGTGAGAACAACTGTCTAGGAAACAAGGAAATCCTCCGCAGGTCAGACCGTCCAATTGCAGACGTGGCCGACATTGACCGTGAAGGCCGTGTCCCTGAATTGAGACACAGCTAATGTTGGTTTCTTTTAACCATGATCACAGTTATTCCTTAATCTTAACCAAATAGTCAATATTGTTACTATGACGACTAGAAATTTTAACAAAAACACAGTGTTTCCTTAAGTTGTTTTTGTACCTAAATGTAACCAGAATTGTCAGATACCACTTTTATTTTTGTAATGGTGATTTGTAACAGTTTTGGAAGGCACTGTATAAAATTATTTTGTAATTTAACTTAAAAGATTTGTTGGAAACAGTATGTGCGACTAAAGGCCCATTTATGCTCAACGTTAAATACGGATCCGGATATGGACGGAGCCTTCTGTCCGTGTTCCGCGTTCATTTCGTCCGTATTTCT